TCATTCTTCTTTTAATTCTTCTTCTCATTCTTCTTCTCATTCTTCTTTTCATTCTTCTTCTTCTCTTTTCATTCTTCTTCTTCTTCTTTTTCATTCTTCTTTTCATTCTTCTTCTTCTTTTTCTTCTTTTCATTCTTCATTCTTCTTCTTTTCATTCTTTTCTTCTTCTTCTTCTTCTTTCATTTCTTTTCATTCTTCTTCTTCTTCATTCTTCTTTTCATTTCTTCTCATTCTTCTTTTCATTCTTCTTCTTTTCATTCTTCTTTTCATTCTTCTTTTCATTCTTCTTTTCATTCTTCATTCTTCTCATTCTTCTTTTCATTCTTCTTCTTCTTCTTTTCATTTCTTCTTTTCATTCTGCTTCTTCTTCTTTTCATTCTTCTTCTTTTCATTCTTCTTTTCATTCTTCTCATTCTTCTTTTCATTCTTCTTTTCATTCTTCTTCTCATTCTTCTTCTTCTTCTTTTCATTCTTCTTCTTTTCATTCTTCTTTTCATTCTTCTTCTTCTTCTTTTCATTCTTCTTCTTCTTCTTTTCATTCTTCTTTTCATTCTTCTTCTTCTTCTTTTCATTCTTCTTCTTTTCATTCTTTCTCATTCTTCTTTTCATTCTTCTTTTCATTCCTCCTCTCATTCTTCTTTTCATTCTTATTCTTCTTTTCATTCTTCTTTTCATTCTTCTTTTCATTCTTCTTCTCATTCTTCTTTCTCATTCTTCTTTTCATTCTTCTTCTTCTTCTTTTCATTCTTCTTTTCATTATTCTTCTTCTTCTTTTCATTCCTCTTCTTTTCATTCTTCTTTTCATTCTTCTTTTCATTCTTCTTTTCATTCTTCTTTTCATTCTTCTTTTCATTCTTCTTTTCATTCTTCTTTTCATTCTTCTTCTCATTTTTTCTTCATTCATTCTTCTTCTTTTCATTCTTCTTTTCATTCTTCTTTTCATTCTTCTTCTTCTTTTCATTCTTCTTCTCATTCTTCTTTTTCATTCTTCTTCTTCTTCTTTTCATTCTTCTTCTTTTCATTCTTCTTTCATTCATTCTTCTCATTATTCTTTTCATTCTTCTTTTCATTCTTCTTCTTCTTTTTTTCATTCTTCTTCTTCTTCTTTTCATTCTTCTTCTTCTTCTTTTCATTCTTCTTCTTCTTTTCATTCTTCTTTTCATTCTTCTCATTCTTCTTTTCATTCCTCCTCTCATTCTTCATTCTTTTCATTCTTCTTTTCATTCTTCTTTTCACTCTTCTTTTCATTCTTCTTTTCATTCTTCTTCTCATTCTTCTTTTCATTCTTCTTCTTCTTCTTTTCATTCTTCTTCTTCTTCTTTTCATTCTTCTTTTCATTCTTCTTCTTCTTCTTCTTTTCATTCTTCTTCTTCTTCTTTTCATTCTTCTTTTTTCATTCTTCTTTTCATTCTTCTCATTCTTCTTTTCATTCTTCTTTTCATTCTTCTCCTTTTTCTTTTCATTCTTCTTTTCATTCTTCTTCTTTTTCTTTTCATTCTTCTTCTTTTTCTTTTCATTCTTCTTCTTCTTCTTTTCATTCTTCTTTTCATTCTTCTCATTCTTCTTTTCATTCTTCTTCTTCTTTTTTTCATTCTTCTTCTTCTTCTTTTCATTCTTCTTTTCTTTTCATTCTTCTTCTTCTTCTTTTCATTCTTCTTTTCATTCTTCTTCTTCTTTTTCATTCTTCTTCTTTTTCTTTTCATTTTTCTTTTCATTCTTCTTCTTCTTCTTTTCATTCTTCTTTTCATTCTTCTTCTTCTTCTTTTCATTCTTCTTCTTCTTTTCATTCTTCTTCTTTTCATTCTTCTTCTTCTTCTTTTCATTCTTCTCATTCTTCTTTTCATTCTTCTTCTTTTCATTCTTCTTCTTCTTCTTTTCATTCTTCTTCTTCTTTTCATTCTTCTTTTCATTCTTCTTCTTCTTCTTTTCATTCTTCTTTTCATTCTTCTTCTTCTTCGTCGTGCCCCGTGACTGCCCAAATGAGTGAAGTGTGCGGTGATTCTAAGATCGACGGCACTCATCTGCATGTCATACTGACTGACAGTATTATTTTTCTTCCCCAGCAGACTCCAAGGGCATTTAAATTAAAGGTACAGTGTTCTGCACTAATATAAAGGCTCTCTGAAGCCTAGAAACCCTTTTAATAAGTTAAATTCGCAGCGAATAAATTCGCATCGAATCGAATTTCTCCCGCAAATTCGGCGAATCAGCCGAATCAAATTTTTGAATAATTCGCTCATCTCTAGTGATTATTTCTCATAATGCCTCTGATTTCGTCCCTCCCTTAATCTGACTCCAGTTTTGCAAGATGTCAGGCTGAAACTGAAAGCATGGGAGATTCTGCCTTTATCTTTACTGGGGCAGATCAATCTAATTAAAATTTTCCCTAAAAGTATGTATCTGTTTCATAACTCCCTGCAGCGGATACCTACATTTTTTAACCCACCTGCTTCAACTTTTTCCTCCTTTCTCTTGGGCCCCCAAACTCCAAGATACAACTGTCCACCCTTATTTGGCCCATTTCTCAAGGGGGCTTGGCCCTCCCAGTTTGTTATAAACACGTCCTGGCTACGCAGCTGGTTACTGCTGTCTGGTGGCTTTGCTTGGTTAAGACGAATTCCCGTACAGTTAAGGAAGCTGCAGTGGTACATTCCTTAGAAGACATTCAATTTCTTCTGTCTAGAGCGGGTGTCGGCAACCCGCGGCTCCAGAGCCGCATGCGGCTCTTTTTCACCTTGGCTGCGGCTCCGGAGCACACTGCCCACCAGGTGACAGGCAATAGGGCAGCAAAGGGCAAACTACGGCCCGGCGGACCTTTTAAATCCGGCCTGCGGAGCTAGGCTCCCGCTAGGCTCCTCTCACAGTCCGCCCTGAAGACCGGTGTAGCATGAAAATCTGTCTCCTATGAGGATCTGTCCCCCTCGACGTATTTGCGCATGTGTCGGAGATCACCGATCGACTGCTAATGCCTGAAACTGGCACATGCGCAGATACGTCGAGGGGGACAGATCCTCATAGGAGACAGATTTTCATGCTACACCGAAACGGCGCGGGAACACGGCGAGAGGAACGCGTGGAGCAAAGGTAAGTGAATTGACACAGGGGGGACTTGGGGACTTAATATGGGGGATGAATTAATATGGGGGATGAATTACTATAGGGGGGATGAATTACTATATGGGGGATGAATTACTATATGGGGGATGAATTACTATGGGGGATGAATTACTATATGGGGGATGAATTACTATATGGGGGATGACTTACTATGGGGGATGAATTACTATATGGGGGATGAATTACTATGGGGGATTAATTACTATATGGGGGATTAATTACTATGGGGGATGAATTACTATGGGGGATGAAATTACTATGGGGGATGAATTACTATATGGGGGATGAATTACTATGGGGGATGAATTACTATATGGGGATGATGTATTTTCAGTTTTAAAAATGTGGCTCTCAAAATAAATTTCAATCGTGGTTTTGGCGAGATTTGGCTCAGTTGAAAAAAAAGGTTGCCCACCACTGACCTAAGGCTATGATTGTGATTATGATGATACACTGTGGCCCTGATTAACCCTTTGCTTACTGGGCCCTTAAACCCCCTTCATGACCAGAGCGCTTTTTTCAATATATGCAGTGTCGGATTTGTTTTAAATGTTGCAATGGTTTTGCGGCTCCCAGTCTTTTTTTTCCCTCTCGGAAACGGGTCTAAGTGGCTCTTTATGTCTTAAAGGTTGCAGACCCCTGGTCTAGAGACTCCAAGGCCCTCCTTAACTCCCTTAATGTTTATCAACTCTTCGAGCCTCGAACGTGGGTCTGGCATGTGAGAGCTATCCGAAACTAGCAGTGTCACCAAATATACCACTCTTTGTGGCCCTTGGCTCAATTCTCCTTGGACTATTATGTTCCTGCTTCCTATTTTTTCCGATATCTGTAGCTCTCCTATGCTTTCAAGAGCCAGTTCTGCAGGCCTTTCTTCTTCTACTAATGTCTGATTTAGAGCATGTATTTAGGATAGATTGTGCTGAGACACCCACCTCTCATTTATATGCCCACCTTCTCTCTGTGTCTTTAACTGTTTTGGAGGCCTCCAGTGCTGGTGGCTGTGGACATCCTGGACCTAGACAATGACAACTGGTAGGATGTTTGGGATCTCCCTTTTGGAACCCTGGTTTCCTTTCAGGATCTACTTATCCAATTTAAAATCGTACCTAAAGCCTACTACACTCCATCTAGCTCCATAGGATTAACCCATTGAATTCACAGGAATAGTGGAAGTACAGCCATTCCCCAGGAGATTTCTCCCACATCTTTTGGACCTGTCCAGCAGTCAACCAGATCTGGGTGGAAGTGCTAGTAATGATTTCTACAGTAGCAATTGCTTCTCTGTGGTCCACTATGAGGGTTTGTTTATTAGACTTGGTGGAGAACCTGATTCCAAACTCTGGTTAGCTTTCTTCTCTTTTACTCTTGCATCACGTTGCATTGATAAAAAACTGCCCCCCCCCCCCTCCCCAGCCACTGATTTCTGGGAACAATTAGTGAATACCAGTTTACTGTTATATTAAGATACTTATGTTAACTAAGGTTGCCTGAAGAAATATGATAGGGTATAGTCCAAGTGGCTAGTGGAGCCCGTGTAAGCTTCTTCCATGCCTATTGACTATAGTCTGTCAGTAATTTCTTGTTTTATGAGAGTTTTTCCCAGTGTAGCGACATCCTTCTCTTTCACACCGTTAGGTGTTACCACCTTATTCCATGGCTACCTTACTTAATGAATTCTCAAGCTAGCCACACCTAGTGATATCAAGTGATATCCTTGCATAATTCACTTTGTTGTTAAAGGACATTTCCCTATTATTCCTGCATTGGTTTTCACTTGTTTTGTTGCTTGTTGTTGTTGCTTTGTCATAGGGTGCTGGCAGATTACGGGCCTCCCATAGCTGCTGCCAGGCCCCTAATCTGCCATGGGCCCCTGTACCGCCTCCTCATGCTGCTGCCAGGTCCAGAGTCTCTCATGGGTCCCTGTACGGCCTCCCATTGCTGCTGTCTCCATCGCCACACTCTGCCATGTGCCACTTTCAGGTCTCCTCACACACTGCTGGTGTGTTCCATTTTTTGTCATTGGGTGCTGGCAGATTACGGGCCTCCCATTGCTGCTGCCAGGCCCGTAATCTGCCATGGGCCCCCGTACCGACTCCTCATGCTGCTGCCAGGCCCGTAATCTGTCATGGGCCCCTGTTGTCGCTTGTTGGCATATTCCGCTCGTTCAGATGCTCCTTCTCCTGCTACTCCTCTTCACGGATTCCGTCAGCAGTCTTTCTTGGAATCCGTTTCCAAGAGACAACAGTTTGCGAGCACGCACCCGACGGTGCAGAAGCTGAACGTCCTCCTGTCCAAGTTGCTGCTGCCAGGCTCGTAATCTGTCATGCGCCCCTGTACCCGCCTCCTCATGCTGCTGCCAGGTCCAGAGTGTGTCATGGCCCCCGTACCGACTCCTCATGCTGCTGCCAGGCCCGTAACTCTGTCATGGGCCCCCTCTACCGCCTCCTCATGCTGCTGCCAGGTCCGGAGTGTGTCATGGGTCCCTGTACGGCCCTCCCATTGCTGCTGCCAGGCCCGTAATCTGCCATGGGCCCCCGTACCAACCCCCTCCTCATGCTGCTGCCAGGCCCGTAATCTGTCATGGGCCCCTGTACCACCTCCTCATGCTGCTGCCAGGTCCAGAGTGTGTCATGGGTCCCTGTACGGCCTCCCATTGCTGCTGCCAGGGCCCGTAATCTGCCATGGGCCCCCGTACCAACTCCTCATGCTGCTGCCAGGCCCGTAATCTGTCATGGGCCCCTGTACCACCTCCTCATGCTGCTGCCAGGTCCAGAGTGTGTCATGGGTCCCTGTACGGCCTCCCATTGCTGCTGCCAGGAGGCAGCAGGGTCGCAGCAGTGTCAGTGGAGGCAAACGGCCACGGAGTAGAGCACCAGCTCCACTGCAGCCTACCACCACGGCCAGTAGTGGTGCCGGTGTGTGCACGGCACGGAGGAAGTAGCAGTCAGCCAGTGAGGAGTAGCGGTGGCAAAGTTTCCTACTCGGCGGTGTGGCAATTTTTCGTCAAGCCGCCCGAGGAAGTAAACGTAGCCGTATGTCGACTATGTGGCCAGAAAGTCAAGCGTGGCCAGGCGGCCCATGTTGGGACTACAGCGTTGCGTCAGCATATGCAGCGTCGCCATTCGGTGGCCTGGGAAAACCGTGATAAAGATACGGCGGTTCTGCCTGCCCCAGCCCAGGGTTCCATTTTGTCATAGGGTGCTGGCAGATTACGGGCCTCCCATTGCTGCTGCCAGGCCTTAATCTGCCATGGGCCCCTGTACCGCCTCCTCATGCTGCTGCCAGGTCCACAGTGTCTCATGGGTCCCTGAACCGCCTCCCATTGCTGCTGTCTCCATCGCCCACACTCTGCCATGTGCCACTTTCAGGTCTCCTCACACTGCTGGTGTGTTACATTTTTTGTCATAGGGTGCTGGCAGATTACGGGCCCTCCCATTGCTGCTGCCAGGCCCCTAATCTGCCATGGGCCCCCGTACCGCCTCCTCATGCTGCTGCCAGGTCCACAGTCTCTCATGGGTCCCTGTACGGCCTCCCATTGCTGCTGTCTCCATCGCCACACTCTGCCATGTGCCACTTTCAGGTCTCCTCACACTGCTGCTGGTGTGTTACATTTTTTGTCATAGGGTGCTGGCAGATTACGGGCCTCCCATAGCTGCTGCCAGGCCTCTAATCTGCCATGGGCCCCTGTACCTTCCTCCTCCTCATGCTGCTGCCAGGTCCAGAGTCTCTCATGGGTCCCTGTACGGCCTCCCATTGCTGCTGTCTCCATCGCCACACTCTGCCATGTGCCACTTTCAGGTCTCCTCACACACTGCTGGTGTGTTCCATTTTTTGTCATAGGGTGCTAGCAGATTACGGGCCTCCCATTGCTGCTGCCAGGCCCCTAATCTGCCATGGGCCCCAGTACCGCCTCCTCATGCTGCTGCCAGGTCCACAGTCTCTCATGGGTCCCTGTACGGCCTCTCATTGCTGCTGTCTCCATCGCCACACTCTGCCATGTGCCACTTTCAGGTCTCCTCACACTGCTGGTGTGTTACATTTTTTGTCATAGGGTGCTGGCAGATTACGGGCCTCCCATAGCTGCTGCCAGGCCCCTAATCTGCCATGGGCCCCTGTACCGCCTCCTCATGCTGCTGCCAGGTCCACAGTGTCTCATGGGTCCCTGTACGGCCTCCCATTGCTGCTGTCTCCATCGCTACACTCTGCCATGTGCCACTTTCAGGTCTCCTCACACACTGCTGGTGTGTTCCATTTTTTGTCATAGGGTGCTGACAGATTACGGGCCTCCCATTGCTGCTGCCAGGCCCGTAATCTGCCATGGGCCCCCGTACCGACTCCTCATGCTGCTGCCAGGCCCGTAATCTGTCATGGGCCCCTGTTATCGCTTGTTGGCATATTCCGCTCGTTCAGATGCTCCTTCTCCTGCTACTCCTCTTCACGGATTCCGTCAGCAGTCTTTCTTGGAATCCGTTTCCAAGAGACAACAGTTTGCGAGCATGCACCCGACGGTGCAGAAGCTGAACGTCCTCCTGTCCAAGTTGCTGCTGCCAGGCTCGTAATCTGTCATGCGCCCCTGTACCGCCTCCTCATGCTGCTGCCAGGTCCAGAGTGTGTCATGGGCCCCCGTACCGACTCCTCATGCTGCTGCCAGGCCCGTAATCTGTCATGGGCCCCTGTACCGCCTCCTCATGCTGCTGCCAGGTCCCGAGTGTGTCATGGGTCCCTGTACGGCCTCCCATTGCTGCTGCCAGGCCCGTAATCTGCCATGGGCCCCCGTACCAACTCCTCATGCTGCTGCCAGGCCCGTAATCTGTCATGGGCCCCTGTACCGCCTCCTCATGCTGCTGCCAGGTCCAGAGTGTGTCATGGGTCCCTGTACGGCCTCCCATTGCTGCTGTCTCCATCGCCACACTCTGCCATGTGCCACTTTCAGGTCTCCTCACACTGCTGGTGGGTTCCATTTTTTCATAGGGTGCTGTATGGCCTCCCATTGCTGCTGCCTCCACCGCCACACTGTGGCTCCACACGGGGTTTTGGCCCCGTGACTGCCCAAATGAGTGAAGTGTGCGGTGATTCTAAGATCGAGGGCACTCATCTGCATGTCATACTGACTGTCAGTATTATTTCTCTTCCCCAGCAGACTCTAAGGGCATTTAAATTAAAGGTACAGTGTTCTGCACTAATATAAAGGCTCTCTGAAGCCTAGAAACACCCTTTTATAAGTTAAATTCGCAGCGAATATATTCGACTCGAATCAAAATTTTTTCACGAATTCGCCGAATCAGTCGAATCGAATTTTTGAATAATTCGCTCATCTCTAATCTTAATGTTGAAAAGCCCCAAAACACTCACTGATCTGGTGGAGTGCACCTTAACAAGAAAGGGCAGAGCTAGGTAATCAAAGCCAGGAACCAAGAAGCAGGACAGTAGACTAGACCTTGAGACAGAAGATTTATGCAATCTGGATGAGGCCAAGGGGAGTCCAGAAGCTGCAGCTAGTCCAAGTACAACATCCTCCTGAGTCAGTTTGGTGCCACAAGAATCACCAGAATGCTCTCTGATTAGATTCTGAGGAACGGCTGCAGAAGAATCTTCAATGGAAGAAAGGCATAGATTAGGTGTAACACACAGTGATCACACAGAGTCATCAGAGCTCTCACTGGGAAGGCTTGAAGATCTCTGTACCTTATGATGAATCTGTCCAGCTCTTTTGTTGAACCAGGACTCCAACAGGTCCACATTCAATATCTCCTACCTGTGAAAAAGATCCCAAAACACCTCATGGTGAAGGAACTACTCTTCCTGATCAGGATGTTGAAAGCTGAAAACGTCTGCCACAAAACAGGAGCTAGTATTTTTGTGAGGACACAAGGAGCAGTGGAGAAGCTAAATGGTAGAGTAACAAACTGAAAGTGACAGCCATCTTCTGCAAAACATAACAAAACTCTGGTGTGCGGGAAAATGGGAATGTGCAAGTAAGCATCCTGGATGCATTCTGATGTCAGAAGATCCTCCTGTCCAAACTTGCTGATTCCATTTGAAACTTCCAAACCCAAAGAAAGATTTTCATGCCCTACAGTTTCAGGATTGGACAAATGCCACCCTTGACTTTCAGGACCATAAACAGTTTGAAGTAGAAACCCAGAAACCTCTCCCCTGTGGGAACAAGGACAATTACTTTCAAGGCAAGTATTTGTGAAGAAGTAGATAGACTGGAAGGCATGAACTGGGGTTAAGGTATGGAGCTAAACTCCAAGCTCTATGATGTAGTGGTGAACTAAGGTCTGAGGTGTGGTCATGAACTCAGTGGTGCAGCTCAGGGTGTCCAACTGAAATGGAAGGAAGGAGGAAGGAGAGCCCTTATACTGTAGATACGTAATTGGTTCAGAAAAAATAATTTTCTCAAATGTGGTTCAACAATAGGAGAAAAGAAGAAAAAGGGAAAACAACTTACAACTGCTGAGACTGGTCAACCTAGGGGGTTGGAACACACAACCTTCTAATTGTGTGATATAAATGTGCCTCCAAGCAGGATGAAGGTGGTCGCTCGCAATGCCATGGGGGTCCTAATCCTCTGAGGTGGGTGTGTGAAATCGGACGTTTAAGATGCAAAAAAGCCAGAAGAGGTCAGAGTCATTAGGCTTAATGAACATTGAATCTCCTTATTTCACTGAAAACATGATTGGGGAATTTTGAGTAAAGCTAGAGGGGAAAAAACTGATGGATACTAAGTTATTTTTTTAACATCTCAACCTACCATCACTAAGGACTATTAACGATTTATTATCATGCATGTGTGAGTGAATTTTCTGCTGGAGTGCGAAGCAGCAGTTGAACGCATCAGTTTAACTAAAGCAGGATAATTAAAGCAGCAAGAAGATACAACAAAGAACTCTACTGCACTCTGAATGGACTGCAAGCAAAACACCCTGAGAAATATCTCCTACAAGTCCTATTCCCACTCTATCTACCTTTTAATATGCCCCCCTCTACTCCTCCTTTTCATATTAGTATCCTCTGTTCTCAAAATCAAATTTTTTACCCCTCTGCTCCACCCCAAAGCTTATACATATCACCCTCACTTCTACCACCTCCCTACTACTGCTCTCATCACTTCCTGCTAATACTTAACCCACCTGCTGACCCAAACACCAGGATAGGAAGGCATGTGCAGTCATTTCATCCCACTCCCATCTTACTTTCCTCACCCTTCATATTCTCCTAACATTTGGGGATATCTCCCCGAACCCTGTTCCTTCAGGATCTCGCCCCCACACCAGGCACCCTCCTTCCTCCAGGAATAGCTACAATCCACTCAATTTAATCTCAATCCCCATGCTCCTAAAAACCACCCTCCCTTTTCCATGTGCACTCTGGAATGCCCACTCTGTCTGTAACAAGCTCACCTCTGTCCATGACCTTTTTGTTTCCCACTCCCTTAACCTACTAGCAATTACATAAATCTGGCTTCAAGCATCAGATTCTGCTTCTCCTGCAGTACTTTTCCATGGAGGCCTCCACTGGACTCACTCACCCAGACCCAAAAGGAGGTAAAGTTGGTTTGCTTCTATCCCCACTGAGCACCTTTCAAGTCATCCCTACCCCTCCCTCTCTATCCTTCTCTTCTTTCGAGACTCACTACATTCGGCTGTTTTCTCCCATTTCTCTGAGGATTGAAGTGATCTATCAGCCTCCTGGACTGGTGTCGCACTTTCTTGATGACTTATCTGCTTGGCTACCCTACTTTCTCTCCCACTATCATTCTTGGTGAGTTTAACATCCCCATTAATGTTAACAACCCAGCTACATTCCAACTCTTCAACCAAACCTCTTCTTTTGCCTCAACACAATGGACACGCTCCTCCACTCACTCTGATGGGAATACATTAGACCTTGTTTTCTCCCATCATTGCACTCCCTACAACCTCACAAACACCCCCTTTCCTTTCTTTGATCACAAACTTTTTACCTTCACAATGTCCTTGTCTTCAAACACCTATCCCTCCAAGCAGCAAACAATTAACCACAGCAGCCTTCACAACTTTACCCCTTCTGTTTTCTACTCTGCAACTGACTGCCTCTATGACAGAGTCTCTTCCCTGTCCTGCCCTGACCTGGCCACTTCTGTCTACAACAGTTCACTTTCATCCACACTAGGCTCACTTGCTCCTCTAACTACACAAAGTATCAGTCCCAACCATTACAGCTAGAGATGAGCGAATTATTCAAAAATTCGATTCGGCTGATTCGCCGAATTTGCGGAATAAATTCGATTCGATGCGAATTTATTCGCTGCGAATTTAACTTATTAAAAGGGTTTCTAGGCTTCAGAGAGCCTTTATATTAGTGCAGAACACTGTACCTTTAATTTAAATGCCCTTGGAGTCTGCTGGGGAAGAGAAA